CATACATACATACATACATACATACATACATACATACATACATACCTACATACATACCTACATTCATACATACATTCATACATACATACATACATACATACATACATACATACATACATACATACATACATACATACCTACATTCATACATACATTCATACATACATACATACATACATACATACATACATACATACATACATACATACATACATACCTACATACATACCTACATACATACATACATACATACATACATACATACATAGAGAAAAAAAACACCACAACTAAACACAAACACCAAATGAGACTTAAGCTGTGAGATTAAGCTGCGTCATTCAAGCTTTGTTCGTCCGAGCCTCACAAATCACCACGCCAGGTGAGTAACCCTTCCTAATCACTCTACCTTAATTGCCAGGTGAAACAAACTGTCATTTATCGAAACAATAACTAATTTGATTTTTTTTTCTTTTAATTCTATTGTACAAAAAAAAATATATAACCTATAGTTTATAAATTAACAAACATAAAAAATAAATAAATAATTCTATATATTTTTATTCGACTTTATGAAATAACTAGAAATAATATTAACATGAGTTTTAATATTATTTCATTTTAATTTACAAAGAGAATTAATGAAGGGAAGAAATGACATAAAGGGAATATATTATGATGGTGTTAATCCCCACCCTGCCCCTTCCTTTCCCCCCTCCCCTTTCCCTTCCCCCTTCCCCCTCTTCCTCCCAACACCTGTCCCTTTTACTCCCTCCTTCCTCTTCTCCATTTTCCTCCTTCCCCTTCCTTCTCCACTCCCCCCACCCCCTAATCCTCATCCCCCCCTAAGGTAGCAGAAGTTGGTCACCTCATAATTCCTGCAAATCCGAGTGGAAAGGTTTGTGTACGTTGGGTGGGGATGTATGTGTCTCCAACATGTGTGTGTATGTGTGTATGCTGTTCAATCATGTACGTGTTTGTAGAGTATACATGTTTGTAGTATACGTATTTGTAAAGTGTACGTATTTTGTGAAATATACGTATTTGTCAGTATACATGTTTGTCCAATGTATTATTTGTAAAGTATACGTATATGTATTTTCACTCCCTCTCTCTCTCTCTCCATCCATCAATGTCCTTATCTTCTTCTCTATCTCTTCCTTCTCTCCCTCCGTTTATCTTATCTCTCATTCCTCTCTACGTCTCTTTCCTCCTCCGCCCTCTTACTTCCTCTCCCTCCTCCTCTCTTCCCTCTCCTCCCTCCCGCCTCTTACTTCCTCCTCCTCCTTCTCTTACCTCCTCCCTCCTCCTCCCTCCCCTTACTTCTTCCTCCTCCCTCCTCCTCCTCTCCTCCTCCCTCCTCTCTCCTCTCCTCCCTCCCTCTCCCTCCTCTTACTTCCTCCTCCCTCTTACTTCCCTCCCCTCTCCCACTTCCCTTCCTCCTCCTCTTACTTCCTCACCCCTCCTCCTCCTCCTCTTACTTCCTCCTCCTCCTCCTCCTCCTCTGCCCTCCTCCTTCTCCTCTTGCTTCCTCCCTCCTCCTCCTCTCTTCTGCCCTCCTCCTCCCTCTCTTACTTCATCCTCCTCCTCCTCCTCCTCTTACTTCCTCCTCCTCCTCTCCTCCTCCTCTTAATTCTTCCTCCTCCTGCTCTTACTTCCTCCTCTTCCTCTTACTTCCTCCTCTTCCTCCTCCTCCTCCTCTTTTTTCCTCTTACTTTTCGCTCCTCATCATCAAACTCCTCCAAAACTGAGGAGTTGCCTAACACTCCCTAGACATGCACCTGAGCAGCCTCCTGCCTCCTCCCGGGTCTTCCTCCTTCCTCCTGAGTTCTTCCTCCCTCCTCTGGGTGCCTCCTTCCTCCAGGTCTTCCTCCCTCTCCCAGGTGCTACTCCTTCTCCTGGGTTCTTCCTCCCTCCCTCTGGGTTCTTCCTCCCCTTCTCCAGGTCTTCCTCCCTCCTCCCGGGTCTTCCTCCCCTCCTCCCTGGGTTCTTCTCCTTCCTCCCCGGGTCTTCCTCCCTCCTCCCGGGTCTTCCTCCCGCTTCTCCCAGGTTCTTCCTCCCTCCTCCTCGGGGTTCTTCCCTCCCTCCCTCCCGGGTCTTCCTCTCCCTCTCCTGGGTTCTTCCTCCCTCCTCCCGGGTCTTCCTCCCCTCCTCACCGGGTTTCTTCCTCCCCTCCTCCTGGGTTCTTCCTCCTCCTCCAGGTCTTCCTCCCTCCTCCCGGGTCTTCCTCCCTTCTCCCGGGTTCTTCCTCCCTCCTCCTGGGTTCTTCCTCCTTCCTCCTGGGTTCTTCCTCCCTCCTCCTGGGTTCTTCCTCCTTCCTTCCGGGTCTTCCTCCCTTCTCCCGGGTTCTTCCCCCTAACCTAACCGTATTACCTCCCTCCTTCCAGCTGGGTCTTCCCCTCCTCTTTTCTCTCCCTGGGATATTTTATTTCCTCCCTTTCTCCTTTCTTCCTATTTCTCCTTCCTCTCTCCCTTCCTTCTTGTTCCCCTTCCTCTCTCCCTTCCTTCTTGTTCCCCTTCCTCTCTCCCTTCCTTCTTGTTCCCCTTCCTCTGTCCCTTCCTTCTTGTTCCCCTTCCTCTCTCCCTTCCTCCTTCGTTTTCTCCTCCTTCAGACCCCCACTACCCTTGCTGGGTGAAGGACAGGAGGTTCCCCTTGAATACAACTACAACACTAAGCTTTCACCGGGAGACTCGACTCCTGTAGGCGACGCAGTAGAAGAGAAGTTATTTTTTTATGTAGTCTTGGGAAGGAAGTTTTGGTCTTGGAAGGTCGTAGGAAAGGTCGTTTCTTTCGGAAGAGTCGTTTTGCTGGGAAGGTCGGTGTGCTAGGAGGTCGTTTGCTGGAAGGTCGTTTGCCTGAAGGTCGTTTGCTGGGAAGGTTGTTTGCTGGAAGGTTGTTTTGCTGGGAAAGGTTGTTTGCTGGAGAGGTTGTTTGCTCTCGGAAGGTCGTTTGCTGGGAAGGTCGTTTGCTGAAGGTCTCGTTTGCTGGGAAGGTCGGTGTGCTGGGAAGGTCGTTTGCTGGAAGGTCGTTTGCTGGAAGGTCGTTTGCTGGAAGGTCGTTTGCTGGGAAGGTTGTTTGCTGGGAAGGTTGTTTGCTGGAAGGTTGTTTGCTGGGAAGGTCGTGGGTTGGGAAGGTCGTGGGTTGGGAAGGTCGTTTGCTGGAAGGTCGTGTGCTGGGAAGATCGTTTGCTGGGAAGGTCATGATGGCCGGGAAGGTCGTTTGCTGGAAGGTCGTGTGCTGGGGAGGTCGTGTGCTGGGAAGGTCGTTTGCTGGGAAGATCGTGGGCTTGGAAGTTCATGGGTTTGGAAGGTCATGGGTTTGGAAGGTCATGGGCTTGGAAGGTCGTGAATTAGGATGGTCATTGGCTGGGAAGGTCATGGGCTGGGAAGGTCGTGGGCTGGGTTAGTCATGGGCTGGGATGGTCATGGGCTGGGAAGGTTGTGATGGGATGGTGATGGGCTGGGAAGACCTTAAAGACCCATGAACACGGTAACAAAACCTTCTGACTCATCCTTGAAAAACTCACCTAACCTACATCCTAATCTAACCTAACCTAACCTCACTTTGAATAATCTACAACCTAACCTAATCTAACCTAACCTACAAACTATATATGGAAAGAAAAAACAAAAACAATATGGTCTTACCTAAATGACACAATGACACAATGGCCACCCGTATATGTCAGGCACGAGGGACCACAACCACTAGGGGGCCAGGCCGAGCAGGTAGAAATGTCACGACTTTTACGGAGTGTTGACGGCGACACGCACACACCTTAGTAGGGGGAGCTTTGACAGGACCTCCCCTCCCGCCCCCTCCTTTCGCCCCCCTCCCCCCCCCCTTCATCTGTCTGTCTGTCTGTCTGTCTGTGTGAGTAGGTAACACGACATTCTCTCACCTTCTCTCTCTCATCTCCTCCTCCTCCTCGAGTTCCTCTTCTGTACGTCTTCCTATATAATTTTTCCTCTTTCATTCTTTTCCCTTTCACACACTACCCCCACCCCCCTTTTCACACGCCTCCTCCTTATTTGTCCTCACACACTTTTAGTTTCTACACGTCTCCCTTCCATCCTTCCCTCTGTCGTTCGCACCCTTTCAAACGTTCCCTTTTCCTTACGTATCTCCCTTTCACACTTTTCTCCTCTTAAGTTTTCTTCCTCTTACACTTGTCACTTCTCCATGTCACTTTTTCACCTATTTCCTCTTATCACATTTTTCTCTTTCACACCCCTTTCAAACTTCCTCACACACACACACACACACACACACACACACACACACACACACACACACACACACACACACACACACACACACACACACACACACACACACACACACACACACACACTCGGTCATGCTAGAGGAAGGATTGTCATTAAACATCGTCTTTTTTACAGGGTCGTTTCAGCAGCTCTGTTGGTGACTTAAGGCGTGGCGGAGGACAGGACGACGAGGAGGAGGTCGTGTTGGAGCTCGGGAATGACCGCCCTAGAGGTCTGTCCTCACTCTTCAAGTCGTCCAAGGTGAAGCCGGGAGGAGAGCGCGAGGAGGAGCTTATACTTAACCTCGAGAATGAGGCCGACTACGCCCCTCCGCATGCGTCAACGTCGCCGGCGGCACCCGCTACTTCTGCTGCTACTACGTCGAGGGTGAACCAGAACCAAAGACGAGGTGGTCCCTCTGAAGCAGAATTCGACCTTGTTATCGAGGATGAAGGAATACGAGGGTCGTCCTCGCGGAGGGTCAGGTCGTCGCGACCGTCGAAGGTGAAACGCAGCGGTGGCGGCGGTGGCGGTGGTGGTGGCGGTCGGGGCCGAGGTGGACGAGAGGAGGAGCTCGTGTTAAGCTTTGACGATGACGAGTTGCAGTCGGCCGCGGTGTACGCCAGGTCAGGTAGAGTGACCAGTGCCTTACAGAACCACAATCAACAGTGTATCCCGGATATAGTGATCGACCAGACCGGAGAGAACACCGCCATCAACATTGATTTTTACCAAAGAAGAAGAAGATGAACAGCGTGAAGAAGGTGGAGAAGTATGTGGACTCCATCATGGTGGAGGACCTGGACGGGCACGGGGGCCGCGTGACGCCCGTGTTCGTCGGGGAGGAAGACTTCTCGCCTGATGAGTTCGTCCAGAAGAGAAAAGATCTTCTCAGAAGGCGACCTAAAAACTACATGGAAGGAGACGAGGAAGTCATCGCCTTCGACTTCTCGTCACCAGAGCCATCCACGTCTCAGCTCTCGCCGGTACAAGCTGAGATGTTGATGCTGGAGGACAGGAGGAAGCTCGCTCTCAAGAGGAAGGACGAAAAGAGAACAGCGATGAGACTTGAAGGAATCGAAGAGGAGTCACCGGATCGCAGCGTGAGTCAGAGTCAAGACCAACAACAACAACAACAACAACAGACTGTCCTCTCGCCAGAAGAATATGAAGATTACATCGGAGACGCTGTCGAGAAGGATTATCCCGAGTTAGCAGGAAGAATAGAAGGTGTCTCTTCTCAGCAGGAGCAACAGGAAGAGATGCAGCAAGTACTGTACGAAGAGCAACAGTTGCGTGAACAGCAGCTACAGCAGGAACAGCAGCTACAGCAGGAACAGCAGCTACAGCAGGAACAGCAGCAGCAACAACAACAACAGTACGAGCTGCAGCAACCACAACCAACTGGCCCTCTTTCAGGTTCGGCTTCGATGAACTTCATGGACGATCACAGCCCGACGAGCAATGGTAACGGAGATTATTATCATCGATGTGTTGCAAAGTACCCCAGAGACCCCCCTAGACAAGCCTGTGGTAGTTTTAGTGTAGAAGCTAACAGCTTTTTGACTAGTGAAGTGGATAGTAGATACAACTTGTGTAGAAATGCTCCCGAAACCAATTTGCTAAACAATAACGAGAGCATTAATAGTTTTGCTAGCCATTTTAGGACTAGTTGTGTTGCGAGTTATGTGAGTGGTGATAGGAAACCCAAAAGAACTACAAGTGTTAGCAGTTCGACTAGTGCCTCTGCCACAGAATCAAGAAACAATAGTACAAGTGCTTCAGAACACAGTAGTATGTCTATAAGTACTGGTAGTGTGTGTAGTAACGTATCGAATGTCAACAAAAACAGATCAAACCTTTTTTTACCGACGAGTACAACGAGCTTACCTGAGATCTCAATAGAGCCCCCGACTCCTCAAGCCCCTAAACCTAAAGATGGCTTTGATCGTGAGAACAAAGTCAAGTATGACCTTAGAGTGCCTGGCTATAGAAGTATGTTCCTGACTGTACCTGGTTTTGATGATGATGATTGTGACAGATATCTTCCTAAATATTCTTTTGATAGTGATGATGAAGACGAGAGTAGTAGTGAAGATGATGATGATGTTGTTCATAAACCCAGAGTGTTCGCCTCCTTGGCAGATGTAGCGGAGAGTCGCGGCCTGAAGCGTTATGGCAGCAGCTGTGACATCGCCAAGTTCGGGATGAACGAGACGGAGGAGCCGATTTACTCCCACGAAGATGACCTTAACGCTAATTTCGACGCCAACGCTTGTAAGTCGAAAGTTGGGGGGACAGGTTCGGGGCCTTTCGTGGCGGGGAAACTGGCGATGTTCGAGAAGGTTGTAGAGGAAGAGCACCAGAAGTTCATCGAGTGTCAGGAGGTCCGAAAACGCATCTTCAGGGCCCCGAAGAAGAGCGGTGAATACATCGAGAAGTTCTACAACCCGAAGGTGGTCGAGACGATAGACGCTCGAGCTAATGTCAGGGGCAGGAACTTGAGGTACTATGACGACGAGTACGACGCCTTCAACAACCGCAAGACCCCGACACCTACTGAGATGATGACCCCTTATGGCGGATACCCCAGTCCCCAGGTGACCTCCAAGTACACACCATACAACTCTCCCAGGACCCCCACACCCACCCCCACTTACGACTCTCCTAGGACCCCCACACCTGCCCCTACTTACGACTCTCCTAGGACCCCCACACCTGCCCCTACTTACGACTCTCCTAGGACCCCCACACCTCCCACCTCTTCTTACCAGTATCCCGTAACTTCCACACCCCCCACACACAACTACGGTACTTCTTCCTACAGCAACGATGATTTTGACTTTGACGCTTACGAGTACGTGGGAGAGCGTCCTCGATCACAAACATCCGCCGCTGACAAGACAGAAACTCGCCAGTGCTCGCCATTACCGCAACCAACCGTAGACAACGACACTAATTACTGGAGGTCGACGGAATGCAGTGACTACGGTCGATCGGAAGTGACGTCTCCTGGTCCCAGCACTTCCGCTCAACCTTCCAGCTCAAGGAAAATGCTCGACCAGCGCACAGATGAGGTACAGATCTAATATTAGCAAGACGTTGAGCCATACAATTTTTTCTTTAGATAATGTAGCAGGACCTTAGAAGACTCAGTTTAGTTAATAGATGATGTTAGTCGTAGCTATAAAGAAGTGTGTTTAAAGAGTACAGTTAGTGTTTAAGAGGTACCCCCTCCTAGCCTCGCCTCACCCCTCTCGCTACCCAAATCTCATCACCTCACCTTCACCCCCCTCGACAGGTGCTGGAGCTGCTAGACAACAGTTACCTGGACATGGGGCCTGACGGTGCAGGCCCCAGCCACGAGAGCCACGGCGCCCCCTGGCAGGATGAATGCGCTGGTAGAGGCCCCGTCGCAGGTAAGTTAATTAGTAGACTCGACCACCTTCAGGAACCCACCGACACCAGCCCTCTATACCCCTCTCACTACCCTTCACCACCACCCCTCACCACCCCTCACCACCCCTCACCACTTTCACCACCCATCACGACTCTCACCACCCCTCACCATTCTCACCACCCATCACCACTCTCACCACTTTCACCACCCCTCACCACCCCTCACCACCCATCACCACTTGGCGGCTCCTCCTCCCGTCTTCTGTAGGTCTTGAGAGAGAATTCCTGAAGGTTGACATGAATTTTGACTATAAGAAGTATACTGTTTCCGCTCCTCCAATACTCAAGTTGTTTCTCACACGAATGTAACATCATCATATATACAAAATACCATCAGAAAAGTCACAGAAATACACCTTAAAAAATACACCATAAAAATACAGTATTACCTTAGAAATACATAAAAAATACAATACCTTAATTCGAACGCAAAAAAAAATACCTCACAAAAATACATTATATTCAAAATATACGAAAATACAATATGTTAAAAATACAGAAATACAAAACCTCACAAAATACACTCACAAAAACAACAATATCCCCAACCCAAATACAGTACCTCACATACAGTAAACGGATTCTCGGAAGATGTCAATACAGTATTCATAATAAAATACAAAATTCAGTTTCTCTACGGGTGACTGTACGGGTGACTGTCGATACAATCTTCCCCTGGGTGATATCAACTTCAGGTTCACAATCACCCATCATATTTCACCCAAAATTTATTCCACATTTAATCATTTGTCGATTTTTTTTTTTTACAATTTTTTTTTGTAATTTGTTTGTACAAATTTGTCAACATTTTTAAAAGATTTTTTGCTTTATTTTCTTTGTGTTTTTTATGTATATTTTTGTCGTATTTTTTTACAGGTGTTTATTTTTTTTATCGGTGGTTTAACAAGACATACATACACCTGTACTTCCCTCTAAACATCTGTTATATTGGGTTCGTCTTCCAACACACCTGTCATAGCTCATTCTTCTGCCAACACCTGGCATAACTCATACCTCTTCAAACAACCTGTCACATCACACTCCTGTTCCAACACCTGTCACACCACGCTCCTGTATCAACACCTGTTACACCACCCGTTCTCTGTTCCAACCTGTCACACCACGCTCCTGTTCCAACACCTGTCACACCGCGCTCCTGTTCCAACACCTGTACCACGCTCTGTATCAACACCTGTCACACCACGCTCCTGTTCCAACACCTGTCACACCACGCTCCTGTAATAACACCTGTCCACCGCGCTCCTGTTCCAACACCTGTCACACCACGCTCCTGTTCCAACACCTGTCACACCGCGCTCCTGTTCCAACACCTGTCACACCACGCTCCTGTTCCAACACCTGTCACAATACACTCCTATGTCAACTCCCTGTCAATACCTGAAACACTGCATTCATTTTACCAACATCTACCATCGCATCACATCTCCGGCTGCAAGACTCATTTCAATATACACACCACCCTCTTCCTCCTCTTCCTTCATCACCATCATCATCACCACCACCACTACTGCCAATCACCACCACCTCTACCATCACTACCACCACCACCACCACCACCTTCACCACCACCACTACCTTCACCACCACCACACTCACCACCATTACCACCACCACTTTACCACCACCACTACCATCCACCACACCACTACCACCACCACTACCATCACTACCACCACCACTACCATCAAAACCACCACCATTACCACCACCACCACCACCACCACCACCACCACCACCACCACCACCACCACCACCCCCCCCTGGTCTCCATTACAGCGACATTATTAAAGCTAGACCAGAACACCTCAGAATTGGTCCGATCAATTTGTGATAAAATTTTAACTTTAGCGTCGAAGTTTTGGTAAGAACAGGGAAAGAGGGTGAGAGAGGGAGGGGGTGAGAAGGAGAGGAGGGGATAGTATGAGCGATGAGGGTGATAGGAGTGTAGGAGGAGGAGGAGAAGGGAGGTGTAAGGAGTTGATGATAGTATTAGTGGGAGGAGGAGGAGGAGAGTGGAGTAGTGAGGTGGTGATGGGAGGGAAGAGGAGAAAAAGTGATAAGGGGAAGGATGAGAGGAGAGAGGGAAGGGAAGAGGTGTAGGGGAGGAGGTGGAGGAGGATGAGAGGGACACACACACACACACACACACACACACACAGCACACCATACCCACCCCACACCTCCTACACCCCACACCACCCACCACACACCCACCCCACACCCCACCCCACATACCCACCCCACCACCCCTAACCCACACCCCTACCCCACACACACCACCCCACACCACCCCACACACCACCTACACACCCACCCCCACATACCCCCCCTCCCCACATACCCCACCCCCCCCACACACACCACCCCACACACCCACACACCACCCCCACCCCCCACGCCAACACACCCACACAGGGTTAACCCCCTTTGACTGTATCCGCTTCACTATCCACAGGTTACAGCGGATACGAAACCCCAGAACTACCTGAGACGGATCCACTGGATGATATCTTTGAGATTGAGGATGTGAGTGTTACACCTGTTGGAGGCCCTCACCTGTTGGAGGCCCTCACCTGTTGAAGACCCTCACCTGTTGAAGACCCTCACCTGTTGAAGACCCTCACCTGTTTAATTAAAACCCTCACCTGTTTAAATAAGATCCTCAGCTGTTTAATTAAGACCCTCACCTGTTTAAATAAGACCCTCACCTTTTTAATTAAGACCATCACCTCTTCATTAAGACCCTCACCTGTTACTCCTCGTAGGTGCTGTTTCTTCTTAGAGTATTAATAACAATAATATTGACATTTCTCATAGCAATCAGAATAGTGATACTGACAATAATAATAATAATGACGACAATAATAATAATAATAATAATAATAATAATAATAATAATAATAATAATAATAATAATAATAATAATAACCTCCACCATCATCACCAACACCACCATCATCACCAACACCACCATCATCACCAACACCACCATCAACACCGTCACCACCACCACCACGTTAAATACACTACGAATATAACACTAAGCTTTCCACACTACAGAAGAAAAATCTCAATAGTCTCTCCTTAAGCCACCAGACTGAGTGCCCATTAAGACAACGTGCCTACGAGACCTCTTGCTAGATACTGTACTAGTCTGTCTGTCTGTGGGAGAGATGTAGGTCGAGTCGGTGCGTGGGACGAGGTCGTATTTGTCAGGATGGAATGGGAACAGATAGATGGAAGGAGGGGGAGGGGGGACTTGTAAACAAAGGTGCACGAGTTCTCTCTCTCTCTCTCTCGTTTTCCATCTCTTGTTTTCTATTGTGAATGTTTGTCTATCTCTCTCTCTCTCACACACACACACACACACACACACACACACACACACACACACACACACACACACACCTGACTACGTATATTACCGGTGTAGTCATGTAGTGGATGAAGAGTAACCATACAACACAATGGTGTGGTGAATGCCTTTTGTAAGTCTGTCTCTGCCCTGTGTGCCAAAAATAGATGTTCGCAGCACTTGTAGAATAGGTGTTTAGAAGTGGGACCTGTAGAGAAGGTGAGGTGGAGACAAAATTCCACCTGTATGTTCCCACTGTTCAGGCAGCCTAACACCTGAGGCCAGTGTGAAGGTTACTCTGTGAACCCTTAATTAGTTGCAAGACACTGATGAAGGTCCAGGTACCCACATACAGTAGTTAGTGTTCATATATATTGTGTTACCTTCTTAATATAGCCGTACTTAATACATCCTTATTTTGTATAAATACCCCTAATGTATAGGTATATCTCTATTAAGTATATCCCATAAAATATACTAATTAATAATATAAATTTTTGTCATTCGTATCTCCCGGCAGTACGACAGCTTGGGCTCGATGACATCCATTGGTGGACGCCACAAGAGGAAGGCGGCAGCACCACCACCTCCTACGTCAGGCAACAACAACAACATGGCCAGCACCTCGACAGACACCAAGAGAGGGGGTCCAGGGGGGTTCTTCGCTAGAGCTAGGAGAGAGAAGGATAAGGATAAAGACAAAGATAAAGAGAAGAAGGATAAGAAGAAGGATAAGGACAAGGAGAAGGAGAAAAAGGATTTCTTTAAGAAGAAAGAGAAAGACAAAGAGAGAGACCCGGATAAAACAGCAGGAAAGAGGTAATAATTACAGTATAACGTCTCTCGATTTTCGCAAGATTTTAACACGAGAGAATTGTAAGATTAGCCAGCATCATCACTATCATATCAATAACAACAAGAATCACAAGGCAAATCAACCACCTGGTGATTTATTAGATTAAATACCATCAATAACAACAAATTAACGACTCACAACAGAAGGTCTTGAGTCATGTCGCCATCACGATTGCATTCTTCTGTAATTGTCCTTAAAATCATCAATAATCCCAATAATCGTTAGTAATCCTCAATAATCGTTAGTAATCCTCAATAATCGTTAGTAATCCCAATAATCGTTAGTAATCCTCAATAATCGTTAGTAATCCTCAATAATCGTTAGTAATCCTCAATAATCGTTAGTAATCCTCAATAATCATCCATAAACATCAAAAAAACATCAACAAACATCAATAATCCTCAATAGTCCTCAATAATCATCAATTATACTCGATATTAATACTCAATTATTTTCAAGAATCCTCATTAATCATCATTAATCCTCAAAAATCCTCAATAATCACCAGTAATCATGAATAAACCTCAATAGTCCTCAATAGTCATCAATAATCCTCAATAATCGACAAAATCGTCTATAATCGTCAATAACCAAACACGTCAATAACAACAAACCACCTCCAACAGGTTCCAGCTTTTTGGAGGAGCTAAAAAGACGAGTGAGCCAAACACTACTGACGAGGCCTCCGCTAAGTCGCCGAAGAAGGACAAGGGTGAGTGTCTCGGTACTCCTCCTGTACCCACTAGTTGTCAACACCTCCCTTCTACCTTGAGTATGAGTGGTCGAGTGTCTGAGGTCATCCTTCACTCACCACTGGTCGATAGCCACCCACCCTCTACCTTGAGTATGAGTGGTCGAGTGTCTGAGGTCATCCTTCACTCACCACTGGTCGACAGCCACCCTCTACCTTGAGTATGAGTGGTCGAGTGTCTGAGGTCATCCTTCACTCACCACTGGTCGATAGCCACCCACCCTCTACCTTGAGTATGAGTGGTCGAGTGTCTGAGGTCATCCTTCACTCACCACTGGTCGACAGCCACCCTCTACCTTGAGTCTAGGGCCGTTTACTAAGTGGTCTGGTGTTCCGTAAGGTCATATATTGAGTCCTGGTGTTCCGTAAGGTGACATAATGGAGACAGTGGAGGTAAGAGACAGTGGAGATAAGAGACAGTGGAGAGACCCTACCCTACCCTACCCTACCCTACCCTACCCTAATAAACCTACCCTACTACCCTACCCTTACCCTACCCTTACCCTCCCTTACCCTACCCTACCCTACCCTACAACAGTGATGCTAACGAACGTGGACCAAAAAAGAAAAAAAAATGTTGTCCATTCAATAACATCGATCACAAGAGACCACTTACACTATTTTAAAACTGGTCATTACACTCTACCTCGGGTTCTGAGAATTACATCAACTATTTACCAACTTTTTATTTATCGAAATCCCATTATCGCAACGAACACACGAACGTATATGTAAAAAAGAAGTTAGTTAGTTTACAGTGAATCATCGGAAAACTGTTTAAAAATTCGAGGGATTGCAACTTTTTATTTCATTTGCTGTTGAACGAGTTAGAGTTAAAATGAACTTAATTTAACACAGGGGAGAGTTATTCCTATTGACCAGCTCTGATTGTAGGTACTGGGTGGAGGGTTGTGGGGAGAAGGGGGTTGTGGAGAAAGTGGAGGTGTCAGGAGAAGAGGGTTGTGGAGAATGGAGGGTGGAGGGTTCACTGGAGGTGGAGGGTTGGCAATAAGGGAAGGGGGTTATGGGGAGAGGGGGTTGTGAGGAGAGGGGGGTGTGGGGAGAGGAGGTTGTGGGGAGATGTGGAGGGAGTTGTGGGGAGAGGAAGAGATTTGTGGGGAAGGAGGTGTGGAGGTGGAGAGGTTGTGGAGGTGGAGAGGTGTGGAGGGTTATTAGAGGAAGGTCATGTTTATGTTTCCTTGTTAGACGAGTGATTTATTTAGTTATTGTTAGTTTTACTGTTGGTTATGTCATGAAAATGCTTGGGACATAAGACGCGGGTTGTGATGAGTCCACCTTTTGACCCCATGGCGTGTGAGGGGTGCCAGTGTAGCAGAGAGTTTGTTAACGATAAAAATAACTCCTAATAGATAAAAAAAAAAAAAAAGTTTCTCCCCTGTAAATGTGTTTAACAAGTGAACTGTATCATTTTCTCTCTCTTTCTCCAGCAACTAAACGCCGCTTCTTCGGTCGAGGGAAGGAGAACTTTATTGGTCGCTCGCCACACATCTCCCACGAGTCGGACCCACAGGTGAGACGATCATTATTGTTGTTGTTTACCTGTAGTGTTGGCTGATGAAGGTGTGACTATGATGAGCTTCTCTCTCTCTCTCTCTCTCTCTCTCTCATACACTTATTTCTTCTTCCTCTTCCACCTCCTCTTCTTCTTCTGCATGCTTGCGTCTTTTACCAGAAGCTTGTTTGTGTAAATCATTTATGGCGGGATGTGTGGGTGTGTCCGCGTGGGGTGGGGGGGTGCTTGTATTAGCCTGACCACGTGATATATATCTAAACCTTTTTTTTTTGCATTTTGAGTTTTTCGTTTTTGTTTTTTTTCGTTTGAGATAAAAAAAGGAAGTGATTGGGAATATATTTTGTACCTGTAGTGAAAAGTTGTATATTATTATATATGTGTATTGACTGTTAACTGTTGAGCCTTAAGTGGTTAGAGTATAGACTGGTGGACGGTATAAACCCGACCTCATCACCCCACACGACTCCTCTTCACCCCACACGACTCCTCTTCACCCCACACGACTCCTCATCACCCCCACACGACTCCCAGCACCCAGAGTAACTTCTGGGTACGTTCGTAACCACTTGAATTACGAGGACGGCTTGAACTATACCCCCAGAAAGGTCTCCTCTGGGGTGAAACGTCTCTGGGGTGAAACATCTCTCTAGAATTGAAGCTTATCTCTCTGGGGTGAAACATCTCTCTGGGGGTGAAACATCTCTCTCTGGGGTGGCTTATCTCTCTCTGGGGTGAAACGTCTCTCTCTGGGGAATTTGAAACATCTCTATGGGGGCAAAACATCTCTCTCTGGGGGTGAAACATATCTTTGGGGTGAAACGTCTCTCTCTCTCTCACTCTCTGGGGTTCAAACGTTTCTCTCTCTGGGGGTAAAAATATTTCTGGGGGCATATACTCAGTGAACGAGAGAGATAGTTTTGTTTACCAGGCATGAAGGGGAGAGAAATGATTGTTTACCATGTATGGAGGAGATAAATAATATTGTTTACTCTGCATGAATAAGAGCTGTAATATTGTTTACTATGCATTACGAAGATATATATTTTGTTTACCATGCATGAATGGGAGAGATAGTGTTCTTATTGTGCATGAATTTCAAATTTTCGCTTTTGCATGATTTGTGTTGCAATTATTTGATAGGTGTTAATTATAGTTCTCTTGGTTAGTTTAGGTTATGTGTGTGGGTTTATTTGTATACATAGTTATAATGTTTTGATAGTGTACGATGTATTTACTAGTGTTGTTGTTTTATATGTCAAGTTAAGAAGCACCGTTCACTAGGGATTAATTTCCAATACAGGCAACTCTTAAGGATTCACAATAGCTGTTTTTAAGCTTGTGTTGCATGTGTGTGTGTGTGTGACGTTCAGTTGCTATACACTGCGGGCAGCTTGTTGACCCGTTTTCTGTAATACTGTTGTTGGAGGGAACTTGCCTGTCTGTCACGTTTGCATGTTAATGATAAATTTACTGCTTTTCACTCATTAGTTAATCTGTAGCACTCGCCTGCTGATGGATCGCTAACGGTACGTCCACTGTATTGGTGTAGACTAAAAGCATTTTTCTAACTGTTCAGATTTTCTTAAAATCAGATGTTTTCTAGGAAAAACTTGTAGTTTTATCTAGTAACCATGTTGCGGTGGCCGAGTGGATACAATACTCGCGTCCTTTCCTAAAGGCCGCTGTTTGATCCTAGGCAGTCTGTAAATGAGTACCTACCCACTTAGACAGTTGAGGAAGTAAAGGTGGTCGAGTGTAGTGCCGGCCACCCTGCCTGCTTGTGTATCAAAGGCTCAACATCCAGTGTGCTGTATGTACACTGTCCCTAACAGGCAGTCATGTCTATAGGACCCACCTTCAGCCAAGGCTCGCTGTATGAGCGTGTAACACTACAGAGACCAATGTATACTACTGCTGCTAGATTAACATAACATTAGCAAATCAGATTACGTAGACTTGTGTTGGCCGTAACACCGGTGACAACAGGCAATTTCTCCCTCAACAGGTCGCGAGGATGGCGGGCGACTCGTTTGAGCAAGAGTCGATCGATCTGGAGGGTGACACGGAGGTGCTGTAGGCCCTCGGAGGGATGACTGTCGGAGATCGAGGAGCTGAGAGAGGGACGAGGGAGCTACTTTTCTGTGACAAGTCTCTGCAGTGGAAGAGGAGAGCAGACTACATCCACTTTTGTTGTGGAAGAGGAAGAAAAAGGACACGATTTTCTGTTCGATGAAAGAAGAGAAGCTACGTCATCTGTTGTGAGAAGAGACCACATGACGTCACTAACACGTCACAACTGTTCACTCTGTACATCTTGTTGTCGTTTGTGATCCAATACAGTATTACGGATATGGATACTACTAGTGGATAATTCTCTTCTCATATTTCCATCTTTATCCACATCAGTAATCCGCATGTGTAGTAAGGCAATCAACTTTTCAATTGGTTTATATTTCCGACAACTTGAGTGTCGTCGCAGCTTCAGTCAATTTCTTTTATCGTATTCTATCGGGTGTTTCAACCTGTAGACGATAATTGTCAACAGTTACGGGTGATTAAGCTGTTATCCGTCAATCGTCATAAGGTCTAGTCATTGTTAAATATATACTTCAAACGTAAACCTTATTGACAGTGTGATGTAGGAATCTTACCGCCAGGAGGACTCCACTAACCCGGCCCATGACCGTCACCTTTATATTCACGCGATACAGTTTGTTGTGTTTGGTTCTCGCGAGGGAGCTCTCAAGTCCCGCTCGGTACAACCAGTAATCTTGCAAGTTGAGTCATTTTTAATGTTAATATCATTAATATATAATAAAGTCTATTGACCTTATAATATTAAAGTAGTGAGTAGCTTCACATGATCCATTTTGTCGACATATTTTCATATATCGTTGTTAAGGTAATCCCACTTGTAAACTTGTACATATTTTTTGCATTTGCTTGAGGTGACCTTTTGTGCAGCTCACGACTTGATGTGTGAGGGCGAGAGGAGCCGAGGCCACACTTGCTCTCCGTGAAGACAAGTGTTCTGGAGCGAGAGGTTTAGTGGTCAGGTCTTTCTGGCCACACATGCATATATTTATATATTTAACTAAACTTTGTAAGGTGTTGACACTGTTAAGTGTGTGTAGTTGATGACACTTTTCACCTTTTTTGTCCATTATATGTTAATCAACGTTGTGTTCTTACCTGACCCCACCCCCTCCAGGTGACCCACTACCATGACCCATGTTCATTATACATGATAATCAATGACAAGTTTAATACATGAGTTTGTTACTTATCATCTTTCTCTCTCTGATTATTATTATCCTCACCTGTAGTGTCTACATACAGTAATTTTTTGTGCCACATGTCAGCTGGTTCAGGTAGTGGTGTGTTTATAAGATGACGTCACACCATGTTCATTGTTTACCTCTGACGTCACGCTCAGCTGGCCCGGGTCACCACAGCAACACTCACGTCAAACATAATAAAAGCATTTTCTATCAGCACTTTTTCCACTGTTCTGATTTATTGTCATGATCAATAAATATCCTGAAGCCACGACCTGTTACTCCTGTTTTAATCTCCGTCTGAGTGTTTGTAAGAACTGTGTTGTGTGGAGAGATGGAGGCGTATGGAGGTGCTCTTGGCAGTGTCCCAAGATGGAGGGGCCACAATCTGTTCTACGAGGGAGATGTATTGTTCTTCTCTCTCTCTCTCCTTCTCCTCCGTACTTCTTCTTTTCTCCTTACTGCTTCTCTTCCTACTCCTCCTCTTCCACCTGCACCTCCTCCTCTTTTGTCACCTCTACCTCCACGCACTTCCTCCTCCTCCTCCAGTCTATCTCATTCCCTTTCCCTCCCTTCTCTAATCCCTCTTTCCCAATTAGCACTTATTTCTTTCTCTGTATCACTTCTTTTAATCTATTAACCTCTCCTGTCCTTCTCCAATTCCTCTCCTATCCCTCTTCCACCCCTCTCCTAACCCTCTTCCACCCCTCTCCTAACCCTCTTCCACCCCTCTCCTATCTCTCTCCACTCCTCTCTTATCTTCCTAGTCTTTGCCACATACAATCCTCTCCCATCCCTCTCTATTCCTTGACACACCCCCCACCCCCCCCCCCCCCCCCCCCCCCCCCCCCACGCCGAGGAGCTAATCGAGAGAGTATTTTTCTACTCCGTGTTGCGTTCTTGTCGGTGTTGTTAAATACTGCTCATGCTTGATGTCCTGTTTCATCTTAAGCTTTCACTGCTGTTCCTGGATTGCTGTTTTACTTATTTTCTGCTGCTGTTACTACTTAGCTTCTACTGCTGTTTCACTTATTTTCTGCTGCTGTTACTACTTTGCTTTCATCGCTGTTTCTCCACTGCTGTTTGTGTGTCTTGATGCTCTTATTGGTTCTCGTTCCCGTGGTGTCATCATTAACCTTTCATCGCTGTTTTTACATTAGTTTTTTCATGCCCGTAGTCTAAAAAAAAAATTTGTCGAGTAAATCTAAATTAATATTATTGTAATTTTTTTCTCTGGGACCAAACATTGTAGACAATAACAGGCAATAAAACTTACAATATTAATCCACTGACTTTGTTTACTTTACTAGGTTGGGTTGGGTTGGGTTGGGTTGGGTTGGGTTGGGTTGGGTTGGGTTAGGTTAGGTTAGGTTAAGTTAGGTTAGGTTAGGTTAGGTTAGGTTAGATTAGATTAGGTTAGGTTTGGTTAGATAGGAAGCATTACTTGAGATGAAGATTTTTAGGCTGTCTAGATAATTTATTGTAGTGTACAGATTTAACTAGGCCTAGAAGTAGACCTATAGTTTTATAACACACCAGCGTAATGATGTTTTTATAATATATACAGCAGAGGCGTATATACAGAACTACATTATAAAGATTAGGCACAATACAGGTTTTACTTGTTTCTTAACGTGTCAAGAAGAGCCAAGGTATTGTAGTTACAGTGAGATTCTGTAACCGAGACGCTGTAGCAGGTTCATAGTGACGCCTCTCCTACGTGGTTACAGTGGGGAGAGTGTTAAGGATGATGTTACAGGTGGGTACAGTGTTAGGAAAGTGATGTTACAGGTGGTTACAGTGGGGAGAGTTAGAAGTGATGTTACAGGTGGTTAAAGTGATGTTACAGGTGGGTACAGTGAGACATAACTGAGGTGACGTTACAGTGACACCACGGACACTGGCCTCTCCACCCTGTCACTGACTCAATCTTTAAAAAGGTCACGACCTGTGTGTGTGTGTGTGTGCCTGTGTGTGTATGTGTGTGTGTGTGTGCGGTCCAAGGATCGATAAAGGCCATGAAGGTCGTTGACTCGACCTTCTTCCTCCCTCAACCCAGTCGTTCTCCCTCCATCACTGTCCCTCCACCACTGCTCCTCCACCACTGCTCCACCACCACTGCCCCTCCTCCACTTCCATGATGGAGTATCGATAATTGTAACAAAATAATAATAAGAATAAAAATATTAATAAGCTTGGTAACAAAACAACAATAATAAAAATAATGTCACTGAATCTTAATCTGAAGAAGAGAAGTGGCTGTCCTAACACACACACACACACACACACACACACACACTACTACTACTACTACTACTTTGCTGACACTCGGAATCGAGTATGACGATCATCCAGCTATGATACAATAATATAAGTTAATAAATTTGTCACCTAGGTTGGTGAGTTTTGAGGCGACTAAAGAGGCCGATACGGGACCCGCTGGGTCGTCCACATTCGTTGCACATGTGGAGGGCTGCATCTAGTGCGGGAGGGGCGGTGGCAGCGTCTTTCCGGCGTTGGCGCTTGTCTGCCTCGGTTTGCAGTTGGGTTAACTCGAAAGTATTGACACCTTCTCGTGTGGTGCTCCTCCAAACGTTACGATGTGGAGTGAACGTCTCCCAGGTGAGGGGGTCGATTTGGCACTTTTTCAGGTTTGTCTTAAGACTATCCTTATACCTTTTCAGTTGCCCGCCGGCATTACGTTTACTATTCGTTAGGTGACTGTAAAATAGTTGCTTTAACAGTCTACTGTTCATGGATAATGGTAGCCTCGATGCTCCTACAGTTGGTGTCAGCAAGAGTACTGGCATTTGTGCTCTTGTCTTCCCATCGAACTCGGAGGATGGAAAATGGACTACGTTGGAGAAAGTTTTCAAGTGATTTGAGATACCTACTGTATGTAACCCATGTCTCACTGCCATATAGCAGGGCGAAGAAGACCACTGCTCGATATATGTGCAGCTTTGTAGATAATTTCAGCTCCCTACAGCTGAAGACACGGGTACGGAGTCTGCCAAAGAATTGAGATGCACATCTGATCCGATGCTGAATCCCTTCATTAATGTCAGCTGTGGTGGACAAGTGGGAGCCAAGATACCGAAAGTGGGTAACATTAGAAAGGGTAGTACCGTTAAGCTGGATGGATGGTGGAGGTGTGTCTGAACCAGGGGCAGGTTGAAGGAGAATCTGAGTCTCACGTACATTCACCTCAAGGCCGAAGTATGCATACATATCTGCATAGGTGTTCAGGATCTCCTGTAGGTCGTGTTCAGTGTGAGCAACAAGGGTGAGGTCGTCTGTATACTGAAGTTCAGTAATGGAAGCTGCCGACACCTTTGTTCCTGCCTGGAGTCATCTTATATTGAAAAGACCCTTCATCCGGTACTCGATGTCCACCCTGCCGGCTATATTGGCTCTGGCACGAGTAAGGAAGGCAGCCAAGAAAATGGAAAAAAGAGTTGGTGCCAGTACACACCCTTGTTTAACCCCTGTTTAGACGGGGAAGAACTCAGACTGGGTGCCGTTGTGCCATCGTGGAGTTGCCTCACAATGAATTTTGGTTGGCAGCCAAAACGGCTGAGGATCCACCAGAGGGCTTCCCTGTTTTCCGAGTCGAAGGCCTTGGTTAGGTCGATGAAAGCCATGTACAGGTCGCGACGCCGTTCTCTGCACTTTTCCTGTATCTGACGGGCAGCAAAGATCACGTCTGTGGTGTCACGTGATGGTCTATAGCCACATTGAGATTCTGAGAGGAAGTTTTCCGCCTCAGGAAGAAGTCTGTTTAGGAGGACTCGGCGATAATCTTGCCAGCAACGGAGAGCAGCGAGATCCCGTGGTAGCTGCCACAGTCTGACCGGTCTCATCTTGTTCTTATAGATATTGACAATGGTGGCGTCTTTAAGAGCTTGGGGGATTTCCTCCTTTTCCCATTTATTCTCCAGGAGAGAGTGGAGACGGCTGGTAAGCAGAGGTCCTCCTGCTTTATACACAACGGCTGGGATTCCATCGGGCCCTGAGGCTTTGTTATTTTCCATCGGTTGATGACGGTAGCTACCTCATTCAGGGAAGGAGGATATCTGAGGTGTGGTCAGCTCTGGATGCTGAGGGACCTGTTGGGTAGTCAGGACATCCACATCGGTGTTTCGGTTGAAGGATGCCTTCATGGTCTTTAATTATGAAGTTACCGTCATATGAGTGGAGGGGGGTTGTGCCACGAGTGATTGGCCCATAAAATGTTTTAATGGAATGAAAAATTTGCGCATCTTGTGCTGATCTGCAAGTTTTTGTGCTTCATATGCTTTATTTTTAAGCCAGTCTATCTTTAGATTGCGAAGTTCCCGCTGGGTCTCCGGTTTCTTCTTGCGGAAGGTATCAGCTTTGGTCCGAGACTGAGGGTTGTTCTGCTTGTCAGTAAAAGCAGCACGTTTATCATCAATGAGTACATTGATTGCCGGGTCATTTTCATCAAACCAGTCCTGGTGTATTCTTTCGATCTGACCGAGGGTCTCTGTAGGTTTTTGTCATAACAGTGTTGAGAGTATCCCATTCGGCACTGGGATTTGCGTTGTTTTGCTGTTGGGTTATTTATAAGGTCATGTTCGAGCTGCTCTTTGAAAGCATGTCCTACAGCTGGATCCTCCAGTCGCTTAGTATTTAAATCTCTTCTGGAGATTTGCTGCCTTCGCCGTTTTGGGGCGAAATGAAATGAGAGCTTGGCTCTGACAAGCCGGTGATCAGTGTCACAGTGGACTGAGCCATACATGGCTCAGGTGATAGGACATCTCGGCGTCTCTTTCTCTGACAATGATGTAGTCAATGAGATGCCAGTGTTTGGATCGTGGGTGTTGCCACGAACCCTTGAAGTTGTCGGCCTGCCTAAACAAGGTATTGGTGATAGTGAGGTTGTGTGCAGCGCACTTGCTGAAGAGGAGTAGGCCGTTGGGATTACATTTACCTAGTCCATTTCTCCCTATGGTTCCCTTCCAAATGTCAGCATCTCTTCCAACTCTGGGTCACCAAGGAGCACGACCTTGTCTTCTCTGGGGACAGAGGTGAGCACTCCGTCAAGGTCGGCGTAAAAGGCCTCCCTGATGTTATCCTCTGCATCCAGTGTTGGGGCGCATGCACTGATGAAAAAGGCATGACGTGAGTGATTGAGTGGTACTCGAAGTGTCTCGAGGTGCTCGTTGATCCCAATAGGCATGTCAGTTAACCTGTGTAGGATGCGTTGGCAGCTGGCAAAGCCAACTCCATAAGAAGGTATAGCCAGACCCCCTTTCTG